AGGCCAAGAGGCCAGGCAGAGCTGTAACTGGACTCATGGCATGAAAGGAGGAGGAAAGAACTGGCAGCCAAGGCTTGCCAAGTGGGGGAACCCTGGTACCCTGTACCACCTTGGAAGAACCGATACATCACGAACCAGTACAGGCCAGCTGGAACTGAACAGAGCCATCCATGGATCAGCTCAGCCTGTGCCAAGGTTAAGGTGACCAACTCCCTCTAAAAAGAAGTTCCTGTAGAAGAACAGAGAGAAATACCATCATTAGAGTCTCACTAGTTTTTATGTGGGAAAAAAAAATCTGTTAACAAAAATTTCACCAGGCCTAGCAAGAGGAAAAGCAGACAACAGAAGCAGACTCCACATGTCCTCCTTCAATGCCCCTGGCCACTGTGGTCCTTTCTTTCTCTCAACGTGGGTATCGTGGCTGTGTCTAGATGTCCTCCAGAAGCCTCACGTGGTCATGGTGGGGCTTTTCAGAGGTGGCTGGATCTAGAGTGTGTGATGCTGGGATTAAGGGTGTGTGATTACTAAATTAGTCCACTGACTGGTTTGGCACAGCTCTGGGCATGGATAATGGGAAGGCCCACTCTGGGTATGGTTGGCACCATACAAAGGGCAGGTAGCCTGGAAGGGATAAAAGGGAGAGGCAGAGGACTGCTGCTTCCTTGCTGCTTCGCTGCTTTGCTGCCTTCCTGCCTTGTGCCCACCATGAACCGTCTCTCTTCTGCAATGCCCCTCTGCCATGTCACCCTGCCTTGGAGCCAACCAGCTATGGACTGAAACCTCTATAAACTGTGAGCCCAAATAAACCATTCCTCCTTTAACTTTGGGTATTTGTCTCAGCAACAAGAAAACAGTAACTAAGACAACAGGTTTCTAGTAGCATGTGAGCCTCATAAAACTGCAACTCAGAAGAGAGAAGCATGAAGAGAGGAAAGGCTACTCCCTCAGGTCAAACATGTGGCCAGGAAGAGGAGAGAACAGTAGACAGACAGGGGTCTTGCCCTCTGTTGTAGTTTGGGGTTTTGCAAGGAGCACAGTACAATTCAGGACACACATTTTATAAGATTATTTTTAACAGTCATCTGAAGAATCACATACAAAAAGGGCAGGAAATCTGCCCACACACTAAAGATCAAAGAATCCAGTTAAAGGCCTGAATCCCATGGCAATGTCCTGCATGAGTCCAGCTAAAGACCTAGAGCCCATGACAATAACCCCTATAAGTCCAACTGGAGGCCTATAGCCCACGACAACATTTCATGCAGGCCTGTTTCATGGATCTGTGCTGGGAAGACCCCAAGGTCAGTGGTGGAAGTTTAAACAAGTCTGTGCCAGCGGGATGAAGGATCTCTGCTAGCAGGCTGAGGGATGTGCACTGGAGCCAGGAAGTAATGCTCAAAGTAAAAGTCAGAGCTCTCCTGAAAAGTACCACAGCCATCCTCAGCAATAGCGAAGTCCCAAGCTCCTCTGTAGATGAGGAAAGCTGAGTTCCCATCAGGAAAGCCAACATGACAAGCTTCTCCAGGAGACTGAACCGTGTACCATCTTCCCCACCTGGAGCCAGGAAGTGAGGACCAGAGCTCAAAGTGAGAACCAGAGCTCCCCTAAAGTGACCAGAAGCCATTCTCAGTGAAAACCAAGTCCCACGCTCCTCCTATGAGAAAAACCAAGTTCATATCAGGAAAGCCAGCATGACAAGATATTTCAGCAGAATAGCTCAAGAGAACCAGCAGCTCCCTAACAGCTTCCCAACAGCTTCTACCAGCTCCCAACAGCCTTTCCTCTTCTTCCTCTCCAGTCCTGCCTCCTGTGCTGCTGGCAACAATCCTCAGGTGGGTCTCCCACACCCAGCACCAAGCTGGTTCAGTACAGCTGGATGTTTCAAGTTGACCACCAGCTGTCAATGCACCACACCCTCCCAACTCACACAGGTGGTTTTTTTGTTTTGTTTTTGGTACTGGGAATTGAACTCAGGACCTTCTGCTTGTCAGGCAGGCACTTATGCCGCTGAGCTATATCCCTGGCCCTCACACAGTGAAATGGGAACAAAACCATGTTTTCAGCAGCAGCACAGGCAGTACAGCATCTCATAGGAGGAGAGCTTGTGACCAGGTACCAGGGCAAACAGTGACTCTGGGCCAAAGCCATTTCCAGTGATATGCAGTCTTTGAGGCCACATATGGTCTTGTTTAGGTCCCGAGGTGGGAGTGGCTTTGGTGGTGTTCACAAAAGTTGGGTGGCCTCAACCCTCACAGCAAGGAGCAGCTGCTGAAGCCCTGAGCAAGGGAACAGCGTGGTCAGATTGGACTGTCAAAAATTGCACAGGCTGGTGATTAGGTGGGGGTATGCTGCCTGATGCAAGCTTGGGGATTTAGGCAAAACATGGTGGTGGAGATGGAGACAAGCTTATAAATCAGGACACATCTCCAAGACAAAATGCACAGGGCTCACTGGTGACAGGTTTCCAGGAAAGCAGTGAGGAGAGACAAGTGACTCCAAGATCTCTACTCTAGCAGACAGCACTCTGAGGAGACTGAGGCAGGCCAGTGTGAGGTGAAGAGAGATGGTTAACATGAGTCAGGTGTGAGAAAGCCAAAATTACCTTGCTTTCTGAGGAAACGACAATCTATCCTGCCTTTTGGCAGGCTGGAATAGCAGAGACAGATAAAGCCAGCTGCACAGGAAAACACGTCTCCCAAGGACACTGCAACTGTGAAGTGTCACAGTGACCCTTTCCCTGACTCCTAAATTCTTGTTCACTGAGAATCTTCAGTCTGCGTACCCCAGACTCAGAAACTGTACTATTTGAGATTTTATATAAGAAGACACCACTCGCCTGTAGAGTCACCATGACACAGACAGGCAGCCTTGATTTCCCACTTGTCACAGAGTGGTAATTAAGGGATCTCCTGTCTATTTGAATATTGTAGTTTTCAAGCAAAAGTCCTCGACCCACTCTCCAGTCAGACTGACATTGCCTCTTCACACAGAACTCTACTTTATTTCCTTATCTGCCCTGCCCCAAGTCCTGTGACAATTCTGTCCTCTTCTTTGCTCGGCAAGATGCCTCTCAGTTTCTCTTCTGTCTGGTCTTCCACGCTGCAATAAACCACAAACCTCATCTTGTCAAGACTTCAGCTCCATTCCTGGTAGCCTCGGCCTGACGAAGTAGGACAGACATTTAGAATCTGAAATAGTTTGATCCCCAGCATATTCCATCCCCCCCAAAAAATGTGAAATTATTTTAAAACAAGTAAAAAAAAATGCCAACTAGGAGAAAGAGAACAGGGCCCTGAGCTTGGAGAAGTTAGGGCTAGAGATAAATCCAGCAGCCCCTCCCTTCAAGATGGTAGCTGAAGCTACCCTGCACCAAAGACTTCCTAGGAAGAGTCATGGAAGGGAGAAGGGTCCTAGGCCTGGGCCTCAAGCAACTGTACTGTCTGATCACTGCTGGGCAGAGAATGGCAAATGAGCAAAGCAGAGTGACAAGGCATCACCAGACAGAACACAGGGAAAGAGGTGACAACACAGCCTGGGGAAGGTACAGGACTACAAGCAAAGACCTCCCAGTCCTACTGCGGAGCTCCTCCTGTGTAGCCCTCTGCGTGATTTGGCCAGGGGACTGAGCTCCAAACATTAACTCATGCTGACTCATGAGACCCCAATATAATTTTCAGAATGCCAGGTCATCACTTTACAGTGAAATGTAACGTAAGAGCAGGCTCACTTACTCTGCCACCAAGTAGCATTAGGCTTTCCCAGAGACAAATGCACAAGGAATGACTCATTACTCTTGGAAGTTGCTAGATGAGATCAGAACAAAGCAAGCTAAGAAGTCCGACTGGAGTATGTCCAGCAGAGTCTCAGTAAGCCAGAGAAAGGTCTATTTACAGAGAGAAAAACAGGAATAAGGACTCAAAAAAGAATGGTGAGAAATTTGGGGAGTAGCAATAGTTTTATGTCTAATGGGGCCAACAGGAGGCATGACTCAAACTCAGGGAGAGGTGGACGGTAGAGGAGGCCTGCACGCAGGAACCCTGGTTGGAGGGGTACAGCTCTGGGCAAAGAACCTTGGGGCATATCGCCCCCACCCCTCTGCCCAGCAATGCCCTTCACAGTGAGCCCTGCCAGCCAGTCTGCAGGGTCCACCATTCAGGCACAGCATCAGGAAGAGGAGAGGACGGATGTAAGGATTACTAGAAGAATAGGGCAAGACTAGATAGGAGCCATGAACATTCTCTTTTCTAACTGGACAGGGCTGGCCCATTGACCAGACACATTTGCACAAACCAGAAACTCATATTCTTGAGTCAGAATACCTTCCAGTCTACACCCCTGGATATACCTTTTCTAGATACCACAATGTAATGGTTAAGTCAAACATGATGTGGAGATTAACTAACCATCAAAAGCTGGCAATGCTAACTCAGCTCAATCAGGCAAGTGCTGCATCAAGCTTGAAATATCTCCAAGAACTTTAACAGGCTCCTACACTGGTATGTGACATAATGGCTCAGCTCAAATCTCAATAGTCTGAATGAACAAGTCCTAGCAATCTCGGACTTACAACAATGCTAGAAACTGACTCTCTCACCCACCCACTGACAAGTGATTACAAACCAGCTATCTCTGCACAGTTAACTCCTTTTGAGGTTTCCATGTGGAAAGATCTTTAACTTGCACAAGAATGCACTTAATTTTAGAGTATAAGTTTTCAAATTATCAGTAGTATAAGACTCTTCCAAGAAAGAGCAAAAGAGGCTAGATAGTCCAGAGAGCTACTAACCTTTCCTCCAAGACCTACATGCACACACACAAATTATGCACTAAAAGCATCTCTAAGCCTTTCTCACCTTTTATCTGACTCTCAAATGAACACAGAAGAAATACACCAGCCCTTTAAAAGTTACAGTTACTTTACAGTTAGGTACCTAAGTCAAATTTGTTAGAACACATTACTATGACCATCAGCAAATACTAAAAATAAAATTACGACTCACTTTTTTCTAAAATTTTTAACTTCTGGAAGCTTTCCAGGACCTCTCCATTTAGTATTCTGGGTAAGAAGTCCCGTATCTGCATCACTTCAGTTGTCAGCCGGTCCAGGTCCTTCTTTCTGACTCTAACAAATTCTTCTTTAGTTCCCATGTGCTAGGAGAGCAAGTATGATTATTACGTTTCCCCTCAGTCTCAGCAGCCCAAGTCAACCTGCTTCCTTTTGTTTCACGCCTCTTCACAACTGTTTCATAATTATACATAATTATTTCAAAAGCATGGCTCTACCTAATGTGTCTTCGGATACGGATATGGCTACGGATTGTGGAACACTGTGAGAGCTGAAGCTCAAGCCTTGAAATGAAAATCAAGCAAGCCAGCATGCGGCCAGGCACCTGGTGTCCCAGCTACTTGGGAGACTGAGGGGACAGAACTGCTTGAGCCTAGAAATTCAAAGCCACCCTGGGCAGCACAGCCAGATCCCACCTCAGACAGGGAAGATGCAGGAGACAGGAACTGAAGGGGGAAATGGGGTGCATACAGGAGCCCTACTTTTTAAAAGAAACGTACAGGCGTTTTTCATTTTTTAAAGAAAATGCCTGCAATTAACCTCATAGCACCTGGCTGACGGGGAACAGAGGGAGGGCGCCTCTTATGCCAGTCACCCATCTAACATCCGCCTCAACCCGGAAGGGTCCTTCTGGAAGGCAGTACTACGGGGGAGGGGGCAGAACACGGGGTTGGATCGAGTCCAAACACCCCCAGCTGCCCGTGCAGCAGACATCACTACGGAACGGCCTACAGTGCCCCACTCTCTCACACCCGCAGCACGCGGTCAGGGCCTTTGGAAGGCACAGGGAGGCGAACTCCGTGTCCCGTCGCAGCCGCTTCACGCCACCCTCTTCACGAGGGACTCAGGCGAAGGCTGCCTCAGGCCCAATCCCAACCTGGTCTGGCCACACCGGCCCTGGGGACAGCTCTTTGCGCACTAGGAGAGACCCTGGGGTGGGGGTGGGGGTGGGAAACAACCACCAAGGGTCAAGCACAAGACCGGGCCTCCCCACTGACCCGACAGGGCTCCGCCGCGCTGCCCGCCTCTCCCATGGCCGCGGCGCTGGCTCTGTGCGCCTGTGCGGCGCCCTCTGACCCCAGCGCGCAAGAAAGCGCGGGACGCGCCGCGCGGCCTCTGGAAGGTCCGGATGGAGAGCCGCGAGGCTCAAAACTCGTGGGCTCGACACACCATTGTCAGCCTGTATCAGGCCCGTGGTGGGGTCGGCAAAGTCCTGCTTCTACTCTTCTGGCTTAGCCAGGATTTTAAACTTTTTAACCGCAAAGTAGATGGAAAATGAGACCCAGGTGTACATGTCACGTCTAATAAAATGCATTGGTCCTTTCCTGTTTGGCGACGGGCTGCATCCAAAAGGGCACCCTCTTTGCGGGATATCTCGCCCACAGCCAGCAGCCTCCGTCCCTCACTGGGCTCGAGGAGCTTTCATGTTGAGTATAGAATTATTTTGGCCCAGTAACTAGGTGGGATTCTCCTAGTTCACCCTAAGTTTAGGGGAGTCACCTATTTCAGAGAAACTTCCCCATCATGCCCGCTAAATCCGTAAAACACGGCACAGCCTAGAGCTTTGGATGACGCCAAAGTTAGCACAACTGAAGATCTGTTCACTACGCGAGGAGCCGGCACCGTTGCTGCCCCCACGCTGTGTGTGTGTGTGTGCTGCACGCCCGATCTGTCTCGGGGCACCGCGGGGAGGGGACGATCGCCGGGCCAGGAGGCACCCCACCTCCCACCCCGGGTCTCAACCCCACCCGGGGTCCTAGGAGCTCCACCGAAACCCGGTGGGTGGGGCGACAGGTGAGCCACTGGCCCGAGAGGGCTTTGGGAAGTGCGCTTAAAGTCTGTCTCTTGCTGGCCACGACCAGACCCTGGCTAACCTCGCCCACAACAGCCCAGTAGTTTAGCAGCCGATAGTCAGGGCCCGCAGTAGTCAGACCCAGCCGAGCAGTGCCGCCCGCCCAAGCGCCATCGCGGAGGCGGCGTTCTGGTGACGCCATCAGCCCGCGCCACACCCCCGCCGCCTTTTCTGCGCAGACGCAGCCCGGGTAGCCAGCGGCTGGAGGTGCCGCACGGTCCGGAGCGCTCCGGCGGGCGCGATGGCTCCAGTCATGCAGCCGGCCGAGATCCAGTTCGCTCAGCGGCTGGCGTCCAGCGAGAAGGGCGTCCGCGACCGGGCGGTGAGGAAACTGCGCCAGTACTTGAGCGTGAAGACGCAGAGGGAGACAGGTGGGCGCTTGCGGGTCAGCCGCTCCACATGGCGGCCGCGCTGCTGTTCGGGGGTTCGCAGTCCGCGCCATCGGGGGCTGTGCCGCTGCCTGTGCCCTGCTCCTAGGGCTGCTCACAGCCCAGGAAAACGGCCAGGGGTCCAGTCCTGTGCTGGACGTCAGTGATCGGCGAAGGGAGACTGAGCCAGGTCTGTGGGATTTGGCGCCCGCGCCTCCGGACGCCGAGCTCGCCCCACGTTGCGGTTCTCGTCGTTGATTCCCGCCTTTCTTTGACGACGACTCCTTTAGGTGCTGGGGCACAGAAGACAAACAGCGTCCCTGCCCTCCAGGAACTTTAGCAGAGAAGCGAGAGGGGAGTGGCAAGTAGAGTAGAGCGGTGTGTGCGGGAAAGGCAGGGAAGACCAGGGGATGGCAAAGTGAATGAGGGAGCTCCTCTCCAGAGGCTGTTCCGAGAGCCTCGCGCGGTGATGTCCAGCCGAGACCCGGACAGACCGGAGAGGAAGCCGGCCGTGCAGACGCAGGAAAGAGCTGAGCTTGCCCTGGGAACGGTGGGAAGACCAGTAAGTTGGGGAAGAGGGTGTGTCGAGGGGAGATTAAAAATGGAGGCAGCGGCCAGATCCATCGGGGCTTGGAAATTTGGCTTTTAACTGCAGTGGAGTGCCACAGAAGTATTTTATTTACCTGACTCGAAAGAGATTCTGTAAACCCTTGTGTGCCTGCACGAGGTGTGGACTGCACTGTGCTGTTGAGGTTTTTTTGTTGCACCAAGTTGCTTGAAGTTTCAGTTGCTGGTAATGGTACATTTGGAATCTGCTTAGAAGAGTAAATATTCCCTCATTGTGACTTGATTGTGAATTCACAGTTTATGTGAAGAAGAAATCAAAAGAGCCACCCGCCTCAAAAAAAGAGAAAGAACACTTCTGTGGGAAGTCTAATTAAAGGAATGAAGACCAAAATTCCTTTTTTTTTTTTTGTCTTTTTGAGACAAGGTCTGGCTACGCTGTTCAGGCTGGACTTGAGCTCACTTTGTAGCCCAGGCTGGTCTCGAACTCGCATCGATCCTCCTGCCTCAGCCTCCCAAGTGCTGGGATTACAGGCGTGGGCTACCATGCCCGGCAAATAATGTGCAGAGGTCAGTAAGCTGGCTTCTCATGGGGTGGAGCCCAAACCCCAGGGGATGAGGGCCGCCATGTGAGCCTCACCCTATTTGCTCCCCTCCTTTTTGTCTTTTTTTTTTTTTTTTTTTTCCTTCAGTACCGGGAATCCAACTCATGACCTCATACTTGCCAGGTACATGCTTACGCTGCTGAGCTATATTCCCGGCGTTCTAAAATTCCTGATTTTATTCTGTTGCGGATCTCCCTGAGAGAGCCAGTTTACATGCTGGTCTTCAGGCTTTCTATGCATGTGTGCCAGTGGTTCCTAAACCTGAGTTGCTTACCAGACCTTTCCTACTTTTGGCTGAGATGTGCCCTGCTAGCCTGGCACTCCACCTGGTTGTCCCACAGGCTTCTCATACTCAGTGCCCCAAATCCCCCCAAAAGGGCTTCTCCAGAGAACTTTCCTCCTCCTGCTCCTCTACTGCCCCACCCACTCCGGCTATGGCTGGATCTGGGATTGCCCTATTGCCCTGACCTCCTCTCCCACCCACATCCATTGTCCCCTGGACCTACCACTTCACTTTTTGAATTACTCTGTCCTGGCCTTAGGAGCCTCTATCTCACCCAGGCTTCTGCCCCTGCTTGCTAATTCGTCTTGACTCCATTTGTGTCCCCCTGAATCTGTCTCCCACAAACCAGCCCAGGGTCTTCTTCCTCAAACAAATCTGATTGCTGGTACCAACTTCCTTGAAATTCAGAGTTCGTGGTCATGGTGTCTTCCTCTGCTGTTCCTCCCTAAGCCTGGTCATGACTGCTGCATGCTGCATCAGCAGAACCGTTTGTGGTTCTTCGTGTACCGCGCACCATTTCTTACCTCCTTGCCTTTGTGTCTCCTCACTCAGCAAAGAATCCAGCGCCCTCTCCACTCCCAACATTCAGCCCAGCGTGGCTTCCTCCAGAATGCCTTCCCTAGCAGCTGACTGCTGCTCCTCCGGGGGTCTGACAGTGCTGTCTCTACTGTAGTACTTGGCAACCTTGGTTATTTATGCATTGATGTATTGTTCTTTGCCCAAACCCCATCAGTGCCCCATCCAGCTTTGTGAGAGCCTGGCTGTGGACAACAGGAAGGACAGGTGCCATCCTTCTGGTCCGGAGGCCTCCAGACAGCCTGTTGCTGAAACTCCTTCAGTGAGCAGGCCCTGGACTTAAAAAGTGGAGGTGTTGTGGGGCCCCAAAGGCAGTCAGTTTACACTGCTGTGCTCCTGCTGGTTAACACCCATCACACCCACGGGCAGTTGTCTTGTTCCCCTTGCTCCCCGCCATGTCTGCATTGTGGGGAGTGTACGCATCTTCAAACAGTGCTGCAGACTGAGTCTCTGCCACAGCTGTGCCTCGTGAAAATAGAAGCACAAGTTTAGAAATAACTTGGCCAGACATTTGACTCTCATTGACAAGCTCAAACATTTTTGCATCCTGTCGGGAAACCTGAGATTTCATGCTGTTACTGAAACTTGTGTCCGTTTGTCAACAACATACGTAGATAGGTCTGCGCCCTTAAAAAACAAAGTGGAAATCTTGAAATTGTGGGATCTAGCTCCACCTGAACTGTTCCAAGTTGAGTCCATGCCATCAGGAAATAGTCCGTGCCTGTGGTTTTTCTTTGTCCTGGTTTAGACATTCATTTTCTGTGCAGAAGTCATTGGTGACATGCCAGCTGTGTGCCAGCATTACGTACCCGGTGCTTGGCGCTGGGAGTACAACGATGAACCCTGAGATTCCTACTTTTCTGTCCCTTAAACATTTAATATCTAAAATGGTACGTCTCAGAGTCAGCCTTGGGATAGTTTCTTTTGGGTCTTTGCCTCCTCTTTGGTGTCATATAAAACAGCAGTGCACCTGTGTGTGGTGGTGCAGTGGCTTCAGTGGAGGTGACAGCACGGGAGTGTTTTTCTCACTGATGGAATTTTCTCAAGTGGGCTTTGGGTGTGTCTGGGCTGCGGGCGGGGTCAGCACATGCAGCCGCCCCATCCGAAATGGCTCCTGCGTCAGTTTGGGGGGAGAATAGCTGTTCTGTGTTCTCATATCAAAACTCACTGCTGTTTCCTGTGTCCGCCTGTCTTCACTTTCATGTTCACCTCATTTATTTTTAAATAACTAAACCTAAATTGTTGTCAGAAATTTAGTTGTATTATTAAGTTTAAGAACTTTACGCCCCAGAATAAAAAGATAGGTTTCACAAGCAACTGAGGAATAAAACTGTTGTACTTCAGATAGGTATTTCACCTTTTAGAGTTTTGAAAGAAATTAAATACTATTTCTCTCCCTTAAGTTGCTTCAAAAATTAGTATCTTGGTACCACCTAGGTGAAAACAACTTATTTTTTAAATCAGGTTTTATCGGTACATTTCAGATATACATAATGAGCACATGCATTGTAGAGAATCTGTACCTGTGCATGATATAACATGTTTTTTTCCCATTCCCCTCCCCTCCCTTGTACCTCTCCTCTCTCCCCTTCCCTTTTATAAAAGCTTTGTTTCCAGTTTTCCTTCTTTTCTCTTTTTTCTTTTCTTTCCTTTTTCCCCCCCCCCCCCCCCTTGTTCCCATCCCCATTTGAACATTTTCTTCCTATTTCACAATACCTATTATACATTTTGGTCCTTATTTACACTTTTGGTTTCTCACACCAGAGGAACAATGCAGTATTTATATATGTATGTCTGATTTATTTCTCTTAAGAGAATGATCTCAGGGTGCATCCATTTTCCTAGAAATGTCCTGTGCGGGTCTTTCTTTATGGCAGAGTGGTACTCCCTTGTATATTTTTTTTTAAAAACCACATCTTTATCCATTCACTAGTTGATGGGCACTTGGGCTGTTTCCAAGATTTGGCTATTACAGTCTGTGTCAATATAAACATCGGTGTGCGTATATTTTTGTGGTATGATGCTTTTCATTCTTTTGGGAAAATACCCAGGAGGCGAATGGCTGGGTAGGCCTAGTTTTTTGAGGAATCTCCACACTGATTTCCACAGTGGTTGTACCAGTTTACACTCCCACCAACAGTGGAGAAAGGTTCCTTTTTTCCCACAGCCCCACCAGCATTTGCTATTGATTTCTTGATAATAGCCAAAAATAGCTTATTTTTATACCTATTGAAAATAGATGTTTCAAAATGAGGTAGGATTCTTAAACTGCCACTTGACAGCCAAGCAAACTACGTTTTTGTTTTTGTTTTTTGGTGTTTTGCGACAGTCTTGGTGTGTAGTTTAGGCAGGTCTTGAACTCACAATGTAATTCAGGCTGGCCTTGAACTCACGATGATCCTCCTGCCTCAGCCTCCAGTGCTGGAATTGCAGGTGTGTGCCACCACACCTGATCTTCCCTGAAAGGTCCTATGGCTGAGGGAGTTGTGTTGATTTGGCTCAAGATGGTTGCTGTAGCTACCTCCCCTCCATAGTATGAGCTCTACCCTGACCTCTGCCTCTCTCCACAACCCTGCTGTCCTAAAAGCAGATAGCTTGGGGGAGGGGGTTAACAATGCAGCTCCTCAGGGAACAGCAGGAGTGCCCAGGGCCTGACCTCCAGGGAACCCAATTCCTATAATCTTCTTTTTGCTTGTAAGTTCATTAACGTTCATATAAAAAAAAAAAAAAAAGGAAGAAAGAAAAATAGCCGCGGGGTCTTTCTGTAATCTCACTTTTTTTCTTTCTGTTAAGGGGTCTATCAAACTTTTAAAGTGTACTCATTTCTCTGCTTCTGCATTTTCCAGCTCCTAGGCAGATTGTCTAATCTTCCCCTCCTCCTTCCAGCTTGGTTCTTGGAAACCAAATCTCAGGCATCCCACTTGGGTTCCAGATACCTCAGTATGCATTTCTGAAGATAAGGACAGACTCCTCTCTTAACATAAACACCACACCATCCTACGCCTTTAGTTAGCTTCACGAAATACCAAACCCCTGAGTATTCCCACTGTCACATGTGACTTTTGTGACAAACCAGAATCCAGACAAGACCCACCTGTTGGCTTTGGTTGGCTTTTAACAGCTCCTGCCTTTTTTTTTTTTTCCCATACAGTTTATCTGTTGGGAGACATGATTCATTTGTCCTGTAGAATTTTGCACATTTGGGGTTTTGGCAGTTTCATCCTAAGGTTTTAACATGTTCCCCTGAATTTCCTGTAGGCTAGTAGGTAGATGAGACACAATCAAGGTTACTTACTTTTTGGCTTTTGGTTTTGTAAGACCTCTTACACAGGCTGATTTATGTGTTTCCTCTGGCATCTAATGAACGATTACCCGTGGAAGTTATGTTAGGGCAGTAGGCTTGGGTGCTGTCCATCTGATTCACCCATTTTAAAGTCCCCCAGTACTTTCTTATCCAGTGTTTTAGCAACCTTGTTTCTTGCTCATACCTAACAATTCTCTGGGGAAGTGCGGAGTCTTTGAAGATGATCAAAATAAGGGCAGATCACCATGAGCCCCTCCAAAAAAAAAAAAGCACCCTCACTTCCGTTGGCTGTGCTCTGATGGCATCTGTGCCGTGCTTAGAGTTAGTGTCAGAATCACCAGATGTAGCTTGTTTGTGATAAGAGGGAAGAGACCATTTGGTAGATCATCTACACAGCTCTGGACGGAAATATACTTTAACTCATTTTATTATGGTTTCTATTATCTTTGTTTTAGGTGGGAAATGATCACAGAAGAATCAAAATGCACCATTATAAAATTGTTGATGAGAAAGGTTGTTAGCAAGTTGGGAGTCTCTACAGAAAAGTGTAACTCCCTTCTATCACCAGGAATCTGTTTGTCACTTTTTTTTAAAGCATCATATTGAGCACTGAGATTACAGTGATCGGAAGTGTATGTTTGTCGGCATTCATCTGGTTTATTCGTTTGCTGCCCCCAAAAGATTTTTCATGGCAGGCATGGTGGTGTATACTTATAATCCCAGCACTGGGAGGCTGAGGCAGGAGGACCACAAGTTTGAGCCCAGCCTTTGCAACCCACAATCAAGACAAAATTTTTTCTACTACTTTTTAGTAATATGTCAATAAAGGCCATTAGTAACACACATGCAAACTGGAAGATCTGTTTGTTTTCCGGTTTCATGGTTTATGGGCTTAGAAACACCAAGAGCCTTTGCTTACCATACCATTTGTGATTCCTGATGTTACTCAGCACATTATTTCATGGTACCCAGGCGGCCCAAGGAGATACAGGCTGAAGGAGCCTGGTGGCTTCATCCTGGGTAGAAAGGCAGAGCTGGAGCCCATTGAGGGATGGAGAGAGAGCGAGGCCAACCCAGGGATGCCACCTACAACAGGCTGAAACCGCCCAGCAAGCGATGACCGTCAAGGGAAGGAGATGGGGACAGCCATATTCAGGGCACTTGTACAAAAACATTCCAAAGTTGCCTCAGTTTCCCCAGGGCCTTTCCTGCCTTGAGTCTGCTTGTGGCTCAGGCTTGCTGTCCCTGGAGAGTCTCGCACCCTGGCGGGGTTTGCAGGTCCCCTTCATGAGGCCAGTGGACATTTTGGTTGTGCAGGATGAGGTGCCGCTTGAAAGAAAGTGTGCCTCGGCAGGGCCTGGCTCTAGAAGAGACCCCCTTTATGAGTATTTTGTGATTTTTGCTTTTGTTTTGTTCAGTTTTGTTCTGGCGGTGCTGGGGATGGAACCCAGGGCACACCAGGCAAGTGCTGCTCCGCTGAGCTGCACCCTCAGCCCTGTGGGTGAATTTTTTTCTGACCACACTTGTTTCCTTGTGTCCCTCCGCACATGAGGACGTGCCCCACTACCACCCTCCCCATGGCTGACGCAGCTGCGCGTGCAGTAGCCTTTGTATTTATTGGTAACAAAGGAAAAAATGTGTGCTTCATGTTTAGAGATATTGACACCACTTCTGTGACAATTCTAAACTTTTCAGAAAGGAAGTATGTAGACGCTAAAGACATTTATTTACTTACTTATTTTTGCTGCCTTTTCCCATACAGGAGGTTTCAGTCAAGAAGAACTCCTCAAAATCTGGAAAGGACTCTTCTACTGCATGTGGGTGCAGGACGAACCCCTTCTACAGGTAACACAGCCCCTTTGTCAAGTTCCTGGATCTATGCCGTGGATGAAGAAAAGAAACTTCATCGCTGACCTCTGACATACCTTCAACAGATTGAAAATAAATACATAAATAGGTCATTTTCTCTTGTCTGTACAGAAAGGGATGCAACATCCACTTTTAGGTTAATTATCTTCTTAAATATAAAAAAATAAATGTAATGGACAGGCTCAATCATAGACTTATTATTTCTCTGTTGTCATTGGGTACATTCCATGGTAAGTTTTTCAAGTCTTAAGTTTGTGTTTACAGGAGGAAGGTGTGGTCTGGTCTGAGAGCCTGGAAGACCAAGCTGCAGGCCCACCGGGCCGCAGTTACCTGGGCACACAGGACATAGCAGCCACTGGGCTGTCCTTTAGGGTCCTTTCAGAGCCTGAAGCCAGGCTCTTAGGGCGAAATCCTGATTAACCAGTAAAGCTTGGAGGAAACTACCCTGGTTACCTGAATGTGTGTGTGACCCTTGTCCCTGTCTGCTAAGCTCCGCCATCAAAACTATTTTAGGAGATGGTTGTTGAAAGTGTAGTTGTGAGTCTGCCCCAGGGTAGGCGGAGGAGTAAGCCCTGCAGAAAAGCACACCCAGACCTCCATGGTAGAAGCCTCCTGGATAGCATTTGCTTCCTTGGGTCTTCCTGGGCCACCGTGCCCCTTCTTGCCTTGTAGTAATAACTTGTTTTCTTGATGGTATTTTCTCTGCTGAACGTATTTTAAGTAAGCTAGCCAGGCAAAATATTTCTGGATTGGACTGGGGATATAGCTCAGCCGCACAAGTGCCTGCCTAGCAAGTGCAAGGTCCTAAGTTTGCTTCCTAGTACCAAACATCATTCAGAGTAACAGCTACAGCTTTAGTAAAGGAAGAGAATCAATGAGCAGGGAACATCCTGTTCAAGTCTGGGGTTCATTTAAAACAGGTGAGGAAAACTGAGGCTAGGTGATGTGCTAGCAGCGCCAGTGAGGATAGATCATTCTTAGGTAGCTCATGAGCAGAACGCATTTATTAACGTTCTTTGAGGTGTAGGCCTGGCCACTAAGTTCCCCATACACAAGCCCGTTGCATCTCAGTGCCCTTCAGAGAGTTTTTTGCCCAGTGCAGAGCTGGGGTCCTATCTAATCTTTGCCTTCTGCCCACTCTGACGGGCAGGCAGAGGACTTTCTGATCCTGCAGATGAGTCTGCAGTGAGAACCCAGTGTCAAAGCACCAGTGAGGAAACCTGTGTCTTATCTCTTCTCTACTGGGGAATCCTGCTTGGGTCTCAGCTTAGTAACAGCTTGGCATACTTTGTTTCTGCTGTAAGTCATTCAGGCTGCCTGGTAGAGGTGCATTTCCTTATTTTTTTTTTTTTTTTTTTTTTTTTTTTTCGCTATGCAGTTCAGACTGGCCTCGAGCTCACTTTGTAGCCCAGGCTGGCCTTGAACTTGAATAGTCAGCATGAGAGCATTTCAGTTGCTC